AGGAGTTCCAAAGATCTCCTGTTCCTGGAAATGTCTGGGCAGAAGCTGATCAGTGATTTTGGAAGGGAAACTGTAGACATGGGTGAACAACTTCAGCATTTCTCAACGAGGAGTAAATACAGGGTTCCACAGGAAGAGAAACAGTCTCCTCATTTATCTGAAGTCACACAGAAAGCAAGAAAGCTGTTCTTTTAAGTTGTCCTTCTGTTCTTTGGGTTAGAGGAGAGAGAAAGCCTCAGGGCTAGCATACACTCGACATCGCGTGGACATTTGCTAATTACCTCTCTTTTCCTTCTTGAAATATGACAAGGAGGGTCTCACAAAGGACAGGAGGCTTCCATTATTAGTAGTGATTTGAAGCCATGTAAAGGTTGTGTTAACTTAAAGAAATGTTTAAGGGGGATATGATATCCATGCTGGTAAACTCTAGAATCGTTGACCTCGGGTGGGAGAAGCCTCAAGTGTGAAAACATCAGGTTTGGAATTGTGTTCTAAAAAGTGAACCAAGGGGAGGGGGAGGGTGGATATGATCTAAATACATTGTATAAACACATGAAATAAAAAAAAAAACAAAAAAAAAAAAAACAAAAAAAAAAAACAAATCAACCAAACTGCCTCTTTCATTTTGGGCTTGGAGAGAGCAGTGAAATTGGTTCTCTGAGAATTTGCTCATGTATATTATACTGTATGAGCTGAGGAATTTGGGAAGCCTCCCTCCATCTAAGGAAACATATACAATGTATACAATGTGCATCTACTTAGAGACTTTTTCCTTATATTCCGGTACCTCCAACCCTTAGCCTAGTATCTGACATAAAATATAGCTGTAAGTGAATGAATGAATGAATGAATGAATGAATGAATGAATGAATGAATGAATGGATGGATGAATCAATGAACCAAGATGAACTTCAACTATTTTGTGGCCTAACATCCAGTATGTCCCAACAAGGTCTTCAAACTGCATGTGCCTAACGTGCCTCTCTCTCTCACTTCTTTCACTTATAAGATGCCCCACAATATGCAGAGACTGCCAAAAGCAACTCCCTTCTAGAAAACTTTCAGGGGTTTACAGTAAAGCTTTCCTGTGTGGTGAGTGATTGCAGGAAAATGCACACTTAGAATGAAAATACAAGAAAGCACCAATTTTCGAAAAAGATTCAGAAGCAAGCCTGGCTACGTCCACTCAATGTAACAAGACATGGCATTTAATTATTACCCTGTGCATTAAATCAGGCGAAGCCAGCCAAACCAACTCATATTTCTGGCATGAAATAGCTAGTTTGGCTGCTTATCCTGACCAAACCAGTAGAATTTGGTGCCAAATCCTTGTTTTATTGTGTGGTGTTTTGGCACAGTCGTATTCTTCTTGTTCAAGAAAAGGAAAAAAAAAAAAAAAAGGTACTTGAGTACAAATGTAGCCATTGGGCTTTCTCCCAGATTCTCCCTGGAGCTTCTGGAATGATACTACACACCAGGGATGTTTGGGAAGACCGGATCTCAACTCCGGACAAGAATGTGGCTTACGGAGGTTTAATAACTCCGCTCACGAGTACGAGTGTTTCAAGTGCAAAAATTGTGCAGATCTCTTTAAGTTAGTCTAAGAATGTAGCTCGGTTTAGGGTAGTTGCCGGGCATGCAACACTGACTCTGTTACTAGCATGACAGCAACCGAGCAACCAGGCAAACAAACAAACTAAATTTTAAGAAATAAGATAAAGCAAGTCTTTGGCGCCTCTGAGTGTTATAGTATATTCTCTAGGATCTTCCAAAACGAATGCAATAATGATTTTTACTCGACTTAACTTCCATCTGAACAGCCCCCATGGCTTTTGAACTTGAGAGAACTAAGGTTGTGAAGCCTTTTCCCACAGGAGAATTTCTTGTATGGCAGTGTGACCTCTGATTTCTTAATAGGAAGCTCTTGTCTGGTGTAAAACAGACCGGCTATGACACAGTATGGCCATACTCACAAGATGGAGGGGAGAGCCTTGTCAATCACTGTTGAACAGCAGTGAACATGGTGTTTACTTGCTTATTCCAAAGGAGCTAAGCTGTGTTTGGTTTAGGATTCCCAATGACTGAGGCAGGTAACACAAAAACCAGCAAAAGCCTGAGACGGGCCCAGAATTGGTGGGGCATTTCTCAACAGCAGTAGCACTGACACGCAAACCTGAGTTTTGATATTAGTATCCCAAGGGTTAACTAACAAACCAGTAGGTGCCCCACTTCCTTCGATTCGCCCCACTGTCCCGTTTTGTAAACTGTATCAAAACTGAAAACTTGGGAAGATCTCTTAAAATGTTTGGATAACTAAATCCTCTTGAAAAAAAAAAAAAAAAAACAAAAAACAACAACAGTCATGTTTTGCTCTTCTGGACACACAGTAGCAACTGGTTGAAGGGGGTTAGTTTTATATTTCTTATGTCTCAACAGCCTCCTTGCCCCACTTTTGCCCAAATTATTCTGCAGTGCCGTCACTCTGCCCTTAATCATCTCACTTAGCTCTGCTCCTTCTCCTGATGAAGAAAAATATTTCTCTGTATCCATGACTATCAAAGTAAGAAAACAAGAAGTAGCCTGAAAAGGCGTCTTCATTTGCACACGTCGCCCACTTGATGACTGCGGGCTTCTGGGATTGCTTTCTTCATCCTTGAATAATGCAGCCTTGCACCATTACCTCCCAGGGCAACATATTTCCCCAGGAACCTCTCCTAGCACAGCTAGGGATCTGCCGGGGCTCTGTGTAATTTGCAAACATTTCCTCCTCTACATTCCCACTTTTAGAATGTTCTGTGTTTAAAACCACAGAGGAAAATCTTGTTGAGCCAATCATTCATTTTAATTGATCGTAAGTATCTAAATTACTGTGTAGCTTGGAGATTACTCCTTGGAGATGAACCCTGAGAAAACAACTTTAGGTCAGCTAAGCACTGCCTGCAGGCGCCTTTCCTTGACCCAAGTCCTGAATAAGAGCTAAAATTCTCTTAGCTGTCCCATGTGACAGCACTCCCAACTTGCAACTAGGTTACCTTATGCATTCATTTTATATTGATTGCTTGCAACTTGCTGTTTTGTTTTGTTTTGTTTTGTTTTTTTAACAGCCATGTTGTAACTGTTGCTAACTTGACCAAAACTTTCTTTTTAACTACTGAAAGGGATCAAATCATAGTAACTTTTTTTTTTTTCTGAAAAATTATTCAACCAAAGCTCTTATTCGACTTTAGGGAAGAGGTGGACAAGGGCTGTTTTGAAAGTGAGGCAATGTTTTCTCTGTGTTGTACAAGGGGTTTCTGTGTGTATCTCCACCGCCCCCCCCAGTTCCCCCCCAAAAGATTTTTAGCACAATGGTGAGAAAGCAGAAACAGGGGTTCCATATAGAAGAGACGAAAATCCAGGACCCATCAGTGTGTGTACAGAGTAGCAGCAGGCTCTCAGCCAAGACGCTGGCTGCGAGGGGTGATGCAGAGGGAGGGAGTGAGCATTTCACTCAAGAAAGTACTGCACGGACTCAGACCGATAAGTGATTTCTGCAAAGATTTCCCTTTTGAGAAAAATGGCTGGTGAGATGAAAATGTGCCCCACGCCAACATTTGATACAGCTTCTATAGGAAGAATTGTCTTCTCTAATTACCCCTACTCAGCAACTGACCCATCCAGTTTCATAAACAGGTACCCCAAAGGTTGACAGGACTGGTTTGCAGGCCGTTTACCCTTCGCTCTGAGCGTGTGCACAGGCCATTACTTGTTTAAGGCCCTGGGCAAGTGGAAGCCAGCACAGATCTGCAAGGCAGAGAGGAGCAGATCTCACATAGTTTCTGTGCGTGTAATGGCTAGCCCTCTAAGGCATGTGGTAGTCAGAATGCTGCCCCCTGACCTTTGAGTTGCTCTATGAAGTTCTTATTACACAGAAAGCTTAAAGATTCTAACTCTCTTTGACAACTAATGGGACGAGGGAGCCAGATGCAGCTCAGACAGAAGTAAACTGGCCTACCCAAGGGACAGTGACCACAAGCGGGAAAAGGGGCAAGGGTCAGGAGTACCTGAGGTCTAGGGCTTTAGCTACAAACCCAGAAACCATCCTGCTGGAGCAGTGTTTATGGAAATTCTCCAAGTCAGAGATGTGCTGTGGGGAAAGAGAAGAGTGGGCAGGAGGAATGTCCGGCAACTTTTTTTTTTTCTGCAACTTCTTGCCCCATCTATATTTGTCAACCACACAGCTAATGACTCTTCAACTCGTACCCCGGCAGGAGTAAGCGGAGGCCTCGCTGTCACAGTAAAGAGATTCTATCCTGCAGAGCTTCCACTGGTTAAAACTCAGTGTCCATGGACAGAGTAGCCAATGGGGACATCTCCCACCCCCTCCCCATTCTCCCCTCAGCATAAAAGGCAACAGGGGTGGGTGGGGAAACTGGAGAAGGAAATGAAATCATGCGGGTTCACCAGGAAAAGATAAGTGTTGGTGGCAGCGGAGTTGGTGAGTGTGTTGTGGGCATTACCTCTTGATGAGGCTTCCAAGAAGGCTCCCGCTCATGTCCTGGTGGCTCTGAGAACAAGCATTCTTGCATCAATAGCTAATAGGCTGTCCAACCAGATGTTATCTGGGTGGGATAAGAGGGTGAGAAAACAGACCTGTTGTACGCTGTCGTCAACTACATCACTGTGGTCAGAGAAAGGCTGTTTGTGTGGTGTTTAGCAGGGCGCCTCGTTCATGGTGAGGCAGACCAGATTACGTGGCTGTTTAAATCCATCTCCTCTTGTGATTGGTAAAAATACGAGAGTCGTAATCATTCATGCATTAGTAAAGCCTCCTTTCCACCATCTCAAAGGGATTTTTTTTTTCTAAAACAGAGCATGCATCCAGCAGAAAACCTAAAGCATTGGTTTTTCTAAGCATTCTTTTGCAAAAAGCACACTTAAAAAAAAACAACAACCAAAAAACAAAACAAATAAACAAACAAAAAAACCCCCACACAGCAAAAACTGTATGTGACAAGTACCTGTGACAAGACTGGAGATGATAAGGGGTAGAACCAGCATCTGTAGCATCCTCATGAGAAGCTCCCCAGGAAACGAGAAGTACTTAACTTCCCGGTAGCTCATTTTATATGGTCGGAGGGCAAATCCAAGGATTGTACCTAAAGGGACAAAAAAGAAAGAAGGAGAAAGGAAAGTTGAGATTTTTAAAACTAAGGCATCGGTCTCTGAAAAATGAGCAAGTACCTGGCTGGCGGTTACTCAAATCTAACAACAGTAATTTATTTAAGCAGCAAATATTTATCCAGCGTTGGGAGCAAGAGATGTATCTGTCTTTGCAGTCATTATGTGGAGGGGTTTGTTGAGTCCAGGCTTTCAAGGAGCATTTGCAGAAAAAAAAAGCATATCTGAGCTGAACAAATGAAAAAAAAGGTCTTTGTCTAATTCAAATGCAGTGGAACCATTTTGAACCGACTTGTGACTTGTTTAAATATGAAGACTAGGGTATATCCTGGAGACAAATCAAACAGTCAGTTCCAAACAAGGTGATATGGAAAGAAAAGGCCTCACGAGAAAGCTCCAAGGGACAGATGATAGAACTGCTAGGATAACCACTTATAATAAACAATTAAACTTTCCAATTAAAAAAAACCCTGGTGCTCAGACTGCTAATCTGTTTCTCCATCTCCCTGTCTGTACATACCACATTTTCTCTCTCTTGCTACATGGTCTTGACTTTGCCTTGGCAACCATTGTACAGGCTTGCTAGATGCTGGCAAGAGAAGAGTTCAAAATGAGCAAAAAAAGTTTTACCAAAAAATTCCTGTTGAAAACTCAACGAGGGCTGGGCGTGGTGGTGCATACCTTTGATTCCAGCACTTACGAGGCAGAGGCAAAGGCAAGCAGATTGCTATGAGTTCGAGGCCAGCCTGGTCTACAAAGTGAGTCCAGGATAGCCAAGGCTACACAGAGATAACCTGTCTAGAAAAACAAACAAACAAACAAAAAAACAAAACAAAACAAAACAAAAAACAAAAAAAGAAAACTCAATGAGGAGTGGATACAGAGAAAAGAAAGCAATTCCTCCTTAGCTTTCCTTCGTTCTTGAAACTTCAAATATTCTTTTGGAATAATAAATTTATACAAAAATTAAGTGATGCATGATACATGCTGACATCCAGAGATTAATACAAGTTTCAAATACATTTACTTCCTCTCCTCTTTCCCCAACTCATTTTCTTTGCCCCCCCCCAAATTTAATCATTCCAGTATTGTAAGTATTTTCAAACATTTGCCTTGCCTTGAAATTTCACTTTTTAAAAAGCCTGAATAAACTATAGAGAAAATAAAAATATCCAACATTGAGGTCTTTTAAAAAAGCCAGAGGTCAGGGGTAGGAACGGGGAGGAGTGAACCCTTTCCTAGGAATGCAATAAGTCCTTACAGAAACTGAACTTTCCCAGTTTCTTACGAAATGGATTCTCTGTCTTATGAAATAGAACACAAAGTTCATTTCAACCACCACTGCAACTCCAATTTCAGCCCTTGGGTCTCAGCAGCCAAGACTATCGATTGTCCAGCTTTAGACTGTGATGTAGCAATAAAGAGTACTTCAATGTATGTGACTACAGTATACAGTGACTAGAATATTCAGATCTTCAGAACAAGACTTTACAGTTTGCTGAAATGTTAAGAGTAATGGGCAGGAGAGCAAAACAGATTTGGAAGAAACAGAGAACTGGGAGCAAAAGCCGCCTGCATTGGTTCTATCCCTTCAATAAAAAGGAAGTAACTGACGTTCTTTCCCCGAGCTCCTACTCTACGCCAGGCTTCGTTGTCAGAACTTCTACTGTTAGCAATTTAATTCTCACAGCAAGCCCAGGAAGCAGACGCTATTTCACCAGTTTACTGGTGGAGAAAACTGATCACAGCCAATGCAAAATTTGCCCAAAGTCTATATATATTCAGGTGACAGAGCCAGGACTTAAGCCCATGGTGTTTCTACTCAGATCTCATGTTTTCCCCCGTCTCTAACCCTCCCAGACCCTCATGACAAACACTGTTAGCGGTTCAAAGTGAGTTTACTTCTAGAGTGTTCTGGTACATAATTTCATATGTGGGCTGTATGCAACTGACAAGGTCCCTTCATTCTTCCAACTGCCAAATAGAAGCTGAACAGTACGCAGGAAGGACAGCCGGGGAAGCCCAGTCTCACGTGATAGTCTATGTGTCTCCTTCCAGTCACGGAACTGGTCCTGCTGGGCGGTATACAGTGCAGCCTGGACTTTTAGAGTGTGCCTCGGTTTCTTTATGGGTTTGTATTCAAAGCAAGAGGTTCAGTTTGGCATTTTCACACATATTATCACTTCCTTTACTGCCTGCTCTGAGCCCCCAGCCCGGCTCCAGCCATTCCGTTTCCCTCAGGTGTCACCGCCTTCTGCTTTCGTATACATGTATTCCATGCCCTCTCCTCTTCTCTCCCAACCCTGAAGAGCTCTTCCTTCCTATCCTAATCCCTTTTCTAGTTTCATGACTTCTAGACTCACACTGTAAAACACACACACACACACACACACACACACACACACACACACACGCGCGCACACTTCAATTTCACATATTAAGAAAAAACATGGATTTGTCTTTCTGAATCTGGCTTATTGCACTTAACATAATAATTTAATTTCCATGCATTTTTCTGAAAACAATTTCTTCTTTACAAATGGATATAATCACATTGTGTATATGTACTATATTTTCATTATTCGTCTGCTGCTGATGGATAGTGCAACAAATATGAATGTACAGTTATCTCTGTGATATGGAGCCTTTTAAAAAAAATCTCGTTTTGAAAACCCTCCTCTTGCTCCTCCTCCAGCACTGGGGATTGAACTAGGGCCTCACTGCATGTGAGGTGTGTACTGTGAGCTACACCCTTAGCCCTACCGTCTGAATCTAAAGCTTTTCTTTGTGGTGAGAACAGCAGGGGTGAAGCAGCATTCATCTGCAAGGAAACAGCTCCAGGATTAATTCTAGGAGGAGCAAAGTTGCATGGGGTGGATGGAAGCAGACAGTCGCCTTTCGAAGCCCTTTTGTCCTGGATTATGTTTTGTGTTTACTATCCCTGTTTTGACAAGTAAGTCATCTCCAGCCTTGGGAAAGAGTAACTTTTATGGGGGGGGGGGAGATAGTTATTAAGGCCTCATTTTGTGTTAACAGTAGTCTTTAGCCCTCATCACAACTTTACTAAGCAGATATTATCATGTCTATTTTAAAAATTAATAAACGGATGCTAAGAATCCAGTTAACTTGCCTGAGCTTAAAAGCCGGTAGGTGGCTGTCCTGAAAATCTCCAAACACAAGCCAAAGTTTTTTCTCCTATACATTGGTAAAAGCCTCTCCAACACAAATGCATCTTTGTAGCCTGGGTCTGAGGGTAGTTTTCAGACAAACTTATCCTCCAGGTTCTTGGCATCATGCTCACAGCCCGTAATGTCAGCTAGCCCAGAGATGCAATAGGGGCACCCAGCACACTAAAACACTGATCTTCTCACCTGCCTCACCTCATTTTTCTCTTTCATTCTTTCTTTTTAAGACCAGTGTTGTTAGGTAGCTCAGAACTCACTATGTGGCCAAGGCTGGCCCTGAACTTGTGATCCTCATGTCTCAGCCTCCCAAGTGCTAAGATCATAGGCATGTGCCACTATGTTTACCATACCAAATCCTCCTCTTAAGGAGTAGTTTAAGTAATGAAATGATTTTATTAAATGAAAATTAAGCCTGCCTTACACATGGTATGTACTCACTTATAAGTGGATATTAGCCATCAAGAACAGGATAGCCATGCTATAATCTACAGACCCAGAGAAGTTAAGTAACAAGGAGGGCCCAAGGGGTAGGGAGACTCATGAATCTCGCTGTGAGGGGGAAACAGAATAGACATAGCACGTGGGTATAGGGAGGGGACTGGGTAACTGGTGGTAAAGGGAACAGGAAGGATGAGGTCCAGGAAGGATAGAGGGAGAGAGTACTGGGAGAAACAAGTGAAACTGGGTGAGGAGGAGGGAGCTAGAAACCTGGGACAAGCTGGGATGAGCAAGAAACCAAGGGCAATGGAAACTCCCAGGAATCCATGAGGGCCACCCTAGCTAAAACTCCTAGCCATGGGGGATAATGAGCCTGAACTGGCCATCTCCTGTAACCATGCAAGACTTCCAACGAAGGGATTGGGACACCAGCCACAATATCTTTGGCTTCAATTTGTTCCATTTACAAGATGTTCCAGGGTAAAGGTGGCACAGAAACTGTGGAAGCGTCCAACCAATGACTGGTCCAGTTTGAGACCCATACCATGAGAGGGAGTCCATCTCTGACACTGCCTTGGAGGACCAGGGCCCAGAGCTGGATAACGCAGACCTTATGATATTCTGCTATACTCATAGACTGGTGTTTAACTCAATTATCATCAGAGAGGCTTCACCTGGCAAGTGATGGAAACAGATGCAGAGACCCACAACCAAACATTAGATGGAGCTTGGAGAATCCTGTGGAAGAGGGGAACAAAGATTGTAGGAGCCAGAGAGGTCAAGGACACTGCAAGAAAATCCACAGAATGAACTAACCTGGGTCCTAGGGGCTCACAGAGACTGACCTGCCAACCAAGGAGCCTTAATGCGACTGACCCTAGGCCCTCTGCACAGAACGTATGTTACAGTTGTGTAGCTTGGTCTTCTCGTGGGACTCCTAACAGTGGGAGGAGGATCTGTCTCCGACTCTGTTGCCAGACGTTGGGGGGCCTTTCCTATGAGTTGCCTTGTCTATCCTTGATGGAAAAGGAGGTTCCCAGTCTTACTGCAACTTGATATGCCATGGCTGGTTGATATCCTTGGGAGGCCTGGCCTTTTCTGAAGAGAAATAGAGGAAGAGTGGATGGTCAGAATGGGGAAGAGGAGCAATGGGAGGGACTGGAAGGAGAGGAGGGAGGGGAAACTGCAATAGGGGTGAAAGAAAGAAGAAAGGAAGAAAGGAAGAAAGGAAGAAAGGAAGAAAGGAAGAAAGAAAGAAAGAAAGAAAGAAAGAAAGAAAGAAAGAAAGAAAGAAAGGAAGGAAGGAAGGAAGGAAGGAAGAAAGGAGGAAAGAAAGAAAGGAAGAAAGGAAAAAA